ATTGAGCTTTTTTAGAAGGGATATCCAACCAAGGGTGAAACCCTTGTTGCATGCCTCCTTCACTTGCTTTTCGTAGGCCTCCGTGACATCGGCCATACCCTGGGCATACGCCTTCTCGTCGGCATCCCTGATTTCAGCCTCTTTGGTAGCCAAGGCCTCCTGCAGCTCTTTTTGGGCCTGGGCCATCTTCTCCTCGGCCTCTCTTTTTTGGGACTCAGCAACCTTCCTAATGGCCTCAGCAGAATCAAACTTCTCTTCGACATCGGTCTGAGCCTCGATGGCAGCTTTGGCCTGGTCCTCTAACTTCTTCATTTTCGATTGAAGGCTTTTGTTGGCTTTTTGAAGAGTAGAGAACTCCCTCTTCATCTCGGCCAACTTCTCTCGATTTTCAAAAGATTGAATAGAGAAAGAATGGGCATGCTGGATGGCCTGAAAAAACACAAGACAAAAGTTATTACAAAATCTTCTAAAGTACAGGAAAAGGAAAAATTGCCAGGTAAGGACACTCACTTGAACAGAACGTTGAAGCATCAGAGTGTAATTTTCATACTCACTCAACCCGGCGTTTCGGTCAAGATCGCTGGGGAGGAGCAGAGCAGTACTGAGGGCTCCGACGTTGATGTCCTCGGCGCTATCATTGGCCATGACTGGCTTATCTTCCAAGGTAATTTCGGGAGCCCAGGGGGCAGCAGGCTTTTTAGACCCTGAGGTCGTTGCAGAAGATGACCTCAGCCTTTTGGATTTGGTAGATTCGGATGGAAGCGTTTTGGCGGACCTCTTCGCAGGGACAGAGGCAGTTTTCTCACTCGGAGCCGGTTTGGAAATAGGCAAGGTATCCTCAGAATCAATTTGAGGCACCTTTGCCTTTGGCTGAGCCTTTTTGATTCGTTTTGGCTTTGGATGAGGTAGGGTTTGTGTTGGCTGAGCGTCAACATCAGTTGGAATGTTGGCCAGGAGATCTTTTGTAACTGGTTTTGGGCGACCCATCTCGGCAGAAAAAACTGTTCGGCATTGACGGCAGCGTTGGGATATGGAAATCAAGTATGGAGCCGAGGTTGACGGTATCTCAGCTAGATCAAAGGTTGACCCTTGGTCTGTCCGAGATGTGGACGCAGTCTGTGGAGTTGTGGCAGATGGTGGAGAAAGGCTTTTCTTCTTCCTCCTAAGGACGTCGGGCAGAGCTGACTTGTATATTGGAATAAAATTGAGAAGCAGAGGCGTCGTTCGTTTATGGACTGGCAGGTTCAAGAGTTTCTTCAAATCCTTACTGGGAATAAAGGATTGGCGAAAGTTTTTTGGTGGCTTAGGAACAGCTGCAAGAAAAACAGACATTAAGAAATGGATAAAGTATGAAAGACTTTAAAAAACAAAGTAGGTATGAATGCAGGGCTCTTACCATTGTCCTCTACAAAGACTGATCGAAGGAGAGGGAAGAGATGGAGGTCTTCATCTGGGGCGAACTCCCAGTTCCCCGAAGTAATGAAACAATCGTCCCCAGCTCCCTTGTTGGAGTCAGGGAGGTCGGCAATAATTTTGTATTTAGTGGACCTCGGCTTGAGGTAGTAAACGTAGCCAGTGTCTTTTTTAAGGCCACACACAGTATAGCAATATTGGATGTCGGCTAATGTGATCCTAGCGTTTTCTTATTTGGCTAAGGCTATAATACCATTGATGGTTTGATAGGAATTGATGGAAAGTTGCATCGGATTCAACTTGTAATAATGAAGTATTTCACGGAAAAGGATGTTAAGTGGGAGCCGAAGTCCATACCCAATGAAGGCTACCACAGGGAAATGCATGAAGTCGTTAGTAGGCATGATGGAGTCATCATCCCCAGCCAACCTCAGATGGACGTCGGCTGAGATTTCAAACGCTTGTCTAAAGAATTTTAGTTTGGATGGGGTGTCTACCCTATGTTTCCACATACCCATGATATCGGCTTAATCAAAGGGGTTGGATTTCAGAAAATGTTTTGAAAGGATTATTGGGACCTCGACAAAACACTTAGGTAAATACAGGTTCTAGTTTTTTCCTAAATTGTGGGTTCTACAGACAAATCCCAAACCTAAGTCTATGAAAACGAAGATTGAAGGCACGAATCTGGAAAAGACACAAAAAACAGAAACAAGAACGAGTTTTAGAATCAAGAACAGAGATGGTCTATCAAGAGCATAAAGAATACAAGAAGTATAGGGCCAAGAACAGTGGCAAAAGTTCAGGGAAGTGGTAAAACAGTGCGTGTGTTCTAGATATGGGCAAGGGCAAAATCATGGAAAAAACACATTCAGATGTATGATTCACAAGTTAAAAGTTTGAACAAATGCAGTAATGGTAGCAAGTAATAGAAAGCATCAAAGAATTGAAAACGAAAGGAACAGAAAACTCAACGAAGAAAAGAAGCCGGTGTAAGGATCGCCGAAGTCAGACAATGGTTACAGAAGTAACAGAACGGCGGAAGCTTCACCAGAAGGAGGAATGAAGGCAGTTGTAGAGCTTGAGGTCTGGAACAATGGCGTATTCAAGAGCTAGAGAGAGAAAAAGTGATGGAATCAAATGAAAAGTAAAAGAAACGAAAGAGGGAAACAAGTTTTGTCAAAAACTTGAAATGGCGGCAAAAGAGGGCAATTAATGCGCCTGGGATAGCAAATGCGTCAGACGGCGCATGTAGGTGCGAAACGACTAATAAGTGCGTCCAGAGTACGATCCAGTAAGGAGAAAACACGTGGCTTAATGGATGAGTTGTTATGTATGACAGCTCATACATGTGAAGGAGCTCTTTGAATTCTTGATCTTTAAGAAGACATGTCGGCCTACGATGATGATCTTGGATTAAGCCGATGAATTAGCATGAGGTACTGATATAGGTTCCATCACCTCAGAATGCCGAGGAAATAGAACCTAGGAGGCAGTTGTGGGGATATATTTTCTGAGTACCAACACGTGGCTGAAGTGACGTCGACGTGTTGGCCGAGGTGCCACGTGTCCAGGATATGACGCTGAGGTGATCTCGATTAAGCCAAGGTTATCTCCGAAGATATCCGAATCCGAGATAAGCGGATAAGACACGAGAGTCCTAGAAAATGGGAAGACTACAGTTGGGAAAGGATAAGACTCTTAGGGAATTTATCCTAATCCTACTGGGAGTCCAAGATTGATAGTAATCCTAAGTCCATTAGAGCTAGGTTCCTGTTGGGACAAGGATTGAGTTAGCTATAAAAAAGAGGCACCCCCGTGGGTCTAAGGTATGTTTTTGATATCCTGTCGAGTGAGTTAAGCACTATTGATTATCTTTGAGAAATATACTGACTTGATCGTCGGAGTGCCCCTGGGTGGACGAACCACCGCCGGAATCTTCTCTTTCTGTTACAGGTTAGCCAGGTGTCATCTATTCTGCCAGTGTTCTCCAGCTGAATACTGAGTTGGGCAGTGTGATCGGAAAATCACTCACACAGCAGCAAAATAAATTAAGCCAATTACCTGTCAACAAGAATATGAGAATACTGCGGTGACTCATCCACCCGGAGGCACTCCATCGATCAAGTCAGTCAACTTATCTCTCAAAAATATCAACACAAATACACAACTCACAGAATGAGAATGATGAGGGAGGTTGTGATGGTTGTAATAGCAGGGTTGATTATGGGAACAATTGTAATGGGACCGGGGCAACCCAAACCTTCTTTCCCTGTTTGTTTTGGTGCATGCTATATTTCTTGCATCTCTTCCAATACTTCTTCGTTGATTTGTGCTGCCAAATGCTTCAAAGATTGCATCTTTCCACCAAACAATCCTGTTCCTCCTCCTCCAAATACACATGACTTGTGCACTTTAGGTTGTGCTTCCTCTTTATGCACCCATTTTAGTACTAAAGAAAACCCTAGTAAGTTTTTATCTCTCCTCTCTTTTAATTAAAAGAAAAAAAAAATCTATACAGTAGTTCTAACACACCTCATTATCGACATGTGGAATATCACCAAACTATTTAGTAATAATCTATTATATAGGATGGTAAATTCTATTATTTGTACATAACTACAAATCTAATAGATTCTAATTAACTATCACATTTATGCCGATGATGATTGTATATTATTGGCAATTGAGTTTTTAATACAATATTGTTAGGCATTATGAAAAAAATATCATGAAATCCTTCATGAAGATTTTCTATACTTGAATTAGTTTGTAGTGTTTTATCATATATTATGCAATCACCCTTAAATTAATTTTATAAAACTGTTCATGGCATTTATTTTATGACGGAAAGTATTACACTTTTTAATATATCCCCCCTTTGTTCTTGTTGTTTTTGTTTTCTTTCATCAAGTGAGGAGAAAGTAGAGAACTGCGTCAATTTGTACTCAAATAAGTGAGCCAAGAAGCACATATCGCAACGAGTGTATTGACGAATAATAATGGTTCAATAATGATGTAATGATTACAACTTTTGTTTTCGGGGAAATAAAATCATACTTGGTGATATGCAAATTTCATTTCATAACTTAACTCATGAAATTCATTGAGGGAGTAAATAATTAGATAAAGAAGTTAATTGATTAGCAATTAATTATCTTCATAAAAAAAATTATGCAAATTATGTGTTAGATTTGTATCCATTTACTTTCACTGTCTAAAACACTCACCTAGTGAATAATCAAATCAAAACAACAACAAAAAAATAAAAATAAAAGACAAAAATATTAAATTGACTTGTATTGGCAACTTTGTGGGTTGTTTGGTTAGAAAGAAATGATAGCTTAGGGGGTATTGGGAATAAAATTTGCAAATTGGCTTCTTTTTGGGCTTCTGCATCTCCCCTTTTAAGGGAATTCCTTTGTTTTTTCACTTCTAGGAATGGGAGAGCCATATGAAGCTAGTTACGTTTCTTGTACCTTCTTTTTTGTGTCCTCTTTTTATCTTTTCTGTTTGTTGGACAACTTGTCCACCTTGATTCTCCTTCTAACAATTTTATTTTTGCTGCTACTGATAAAAAAAAATGTCTATTGGTCAAGAATAGTTGCAAAATAAACACAGTTCCATACACTCAAGTCATACTCTATCACCATTAAGTACTTAAGTTGTTTGATTGCATAGTAAAAGGGATAAAACAAGGAACCAGCACATAATGAATAAATAACATTTAATAATACAGTTGCCTGCATCACCTGGCCTATACTTGCAGCAACCATTGGTTCATAATCAAAACTAATCAACTTAGATGACCAGTCAGGACCTAATTCAGCATCCAAAACTTGATTTAGCTGGCTCATTGGCATCACATCAGCACCTTGACGAACAATATCCAACGTAGCCAAGATCTACGAAGGGATAAGAGCTGTCACATGCTTTGGAACCAAAATATGACAAGCCTCATTCATGCCAGCAATATAAAACTTAATCATAATAGAGGAAAAGTTAACTTGAATAAGAACAAATGGTGAATAATCATCCAGATAGGGTCCACTTACCCTTTCTAAATCAGGGTCGGTATTATTTGTCTGTTTTATCACATTATAACATTTTTTTTTTATTTGCAAACATAAAATTTTTATTGTGAATTTTAACCCGTCAGCATTTACTAAAACGGATTGATGAACAAAATCACTGTGATTACACCTTTTTCTTTGATCAACAACAGAGTACAATTGTATTAGTCTATTAGAGAGCGTGCCGAGGGGAAAAAACCCTTATACAATTCAAATAAATAAATAGAAAGAAGAAGAAGAAAAAGTACAAAAGATAAACCTGACACCCCTTTAACAACTAAAACAAAATCAAATCTCAAGTGTTAACAGCTTTAATAAAGTGCCTTCTTGACAAAGGATGCTTTCTCATTGCTTGACATCAATTTTCATTGTTTTCTTCCAACTTTACCAATAACCTTAACCAACTTAAAATTTGGATGCTTCTCCTTAAATTGCTTCCTGAATTCTTCCAATAAAATAAAAAAATGCACTAACAGACTTATTAGGTGATAGCCTCAAACACTAATCCTCATTTTCTAAATACACAATCTCACTTAAGCCTCACTCTACTTTTGTCCATCATAATTAAGTGAATATTGAAGCCTTTTAAGTTCCCTATCCTTTCTAAAGAATAATATACTTCATTTTTCTTTTTAGCACATCACTCTTATATTGAAGCCTTGAGCATGTGTTGTGTACCCTTTAGGGTTGTGTCTTGAGCTTTTGTGGTACTATCCTTTTGTTTTAGTAATGAAATAACTTACCAAAAAGTGAATAATGTAAAAGCTTAAAAAAACAATACCGGAGGGGGTATAATGGATTCATCTTGAATACTCAGCATCTGCCCTAATTTAAGTGCCGCTCCACGCATTCTGCACAATGCAAGAGCCAAACATTCTGCATTTTTTTTCCGATAAGAATGGGGAAAGAGCGGATTGTTTTTCTTGTGAATCGGGTATACCAAAGACAATCCTCTTGGCAGATTCCTGGATTGTCCCCCATGCAAGACTAGCTCCTAGGCCAGCAAACCTTCAAAATAAGTTAGGAATTAAGTAAAAATCTCAGTCATAAGAACAAAAAAACATGTTATACAATTGATGATTTCCTTCATAACTAACAGATTTGAAAGCCATGTCCAAGATATGTTATGTTTTAGAAAAGAAAAGGACTGCCAAATAACAATATTGGCACTACAAAGACCTGAATAATGCAGTGGTAACTAGTTTGAGAATAGTTCAGGACAAAAATAAATACAGTTACACAAAACATACATCAATGATGAGCTCCATTTTTTAATATTCCAAATGACTTGATTTTTGGGATGTAATAAGTAACATTTGGGATTTGAAAAGGAAAGTGTTCTATTTCTTTCTGTCTTTATTGTTTTTAATGGAAAGGAAATTGCCAATAATAACAATAGACAAAATCTTAGTTCTATCATCCATAGAGGAGGAACCAAAGTAGTCATTACCCATAAAAGTAACTTTCGTAAATAATGAAGGAGATGTATTTCTTTAATTTTGTTTCGTGTGAACAATGCACACCAATCAAACTAAGGCAAAAAATTTACATGACACTTACCGAGGGCAGGGGGGAACTTGAGATACATAGACAACTCCTTTCCGTAGGCCTACTCCGTAAGATAGAGATACCTCGAAAGAGGACCAACTTCCTTAATCACACCCATATGTCTCCAACATCTATCCCTCATACTCACAAACCTCCAACGCCACTCCCCCAACAAAACTTGTTTGAAATTTTCTAACTTCTTGATACCAATCCTCATCCCTCATAGGATTGCAAACTGAGTCCCTGTCAACCAAATGGTTACTTGAATCCTCCCCTATTCCTCCCTACAAAAATCTATAAGCAGCTTCCAATCTCTCGGCAACAAAGTAATGACAAACAAAAACATAAAATATGTAGGCAACCTAGATAAAGTACTCTTCATTAGATAGGTAGTCGTTTTACTTTTGATGTATTACATGTAATTTCAAGCCAAGGGCTTAATGTGTAAACGAGTTAGAACTCTTTGTTGTAACCAAGTGTTAACTTGGAAAGCTGTAAGCCCGTAGGGCATTTTGTTATGAGGTTAACATGTAATACTTATGTCTTATCTGATGGGTTTATTGTTATTATTTTGAGGGCGTTACAAGTACTTTCTAGAGTGCTCAAAAATCAATGTTAGTCACCTCCTCCCCTGGAATGAATTGGTTGTATTTAAGTTGGTGCAAGACATTCAAAGAAAAATAAAAGCAAGTTTGGAAATTCATATAGGGCTTACTTGGTACCTCATGTAATCAAGTTGGGAATTTCATGGATATGCATTTGTGTTCTACTAAGTTAAGAAATTTTGGGGCATTTTAGAAATTCCACATTTTTTTGAAATGGTTAAATAAAGGGGGAATTACCATTTAGTGTAATAGACCAAAATTAAATAAAGGGGGAACCAAGTCTCCTGGAATCTAAGTGCAAGGCTCAACAGAAAGTCCAAGTCCAAGTCTCATGTATATTTATGTATACTTGCAACATAGAAAAAATAAAATAAAATAAAGAAAAAAAGTGAGAATCTTTTCACATATCAACTAAATGGACATACTTGTATATCTTTTTATTTCTTTTTTTTTTTTTTGATGGGCACTAGATGTCCGGATCAAAGCCCAACTAATCCCCAGGGTGCATAGGCCTCGGCAAGGAGATTTTCTGAAAGTGCACCACGGTTAATTCAAGAGTTTTTCCCCTAGTCCGATGGCTTAAGAAATTGTTAGCACCTAAGAGCATCTCCAATGGCAAGCCATTGGAGCTGCTATTGCCATAATTTGGCAGCTGCAACAGAGCAGTATATGCTCCAATGACTTGCCATAGCATGTGCTAAATTTGAGAAATTGACACAAGCTTTGGTAACTGCTATTTGTGCTGGAGGTTATACTTGTATATCCTTTTCAATTTCGAGTATATGCATCAACTAAAATAAATACCATAAGCAGTGGTCATATAGGCTTCATTTGGTTCACTAGAATAGAATGATTATTCCTTAGGCTTTCATATTGTAATGCATTTTGTCGTTATTTTATTAGTCAACCAAACATAAAAATGAACATTTTGATAGAATGAATATCCCATTCCGTTTCATTCCAGTGAAACAAATACTACCATATGGTTTGGATTGTTTGGGGGTTGTGAATGGGGAAAAACTTACCCAAGAGCTCTAGAAGAGGGTGTACAAGGAGCTCTCCTCTCCCTCGGCCTCCTCTTTTGTATCTTAGGAGGAGGAGGAGAAGGAGCAGGCTCTTCTTTGTCAAGGGCAACATTGGCCTCGGAAGCGAGCAAACCGTCTTTGACATCACAACCAACATTCGATGGCAATGGCGGTGGTATCTCGGGAAAGGGAACTTCCTTACCACCAACATTTGATGGCGATGGCGATGGCGATGGTTGAAGAGGTGATGGTGTTTGAGGTTGGTTCTCCTCAACCGCCGCCTCGAAGTATACAACACTGGTTGTTGCTTTAGAATTGTTACTACTACTACTAGTAGGAGGTGAGGGAGGAGGAGGAGGAGTGGAGAACTCGCGGGCCTCGCCGGTGGTGAGTCCGGAGAGATCAGTGACGACGAGGATTGCCTTCTTCAAGGAGGAAGTAATTAGGGATTGCAAATCTCCATTTTGAGATCGAGAACGTTTCACAACCTCCTTGCTGATTAGGGATAAGCCATCTACAATCCTGCCTAGCTCCTTCTTCGTCAATGAAGAACCCATTCTTATTCTTATTTTTATTTAATTCGCGTCGGTCTTTCTTGGACTTGGATTTAGTGCACAAGAAATGGTTGTAAAAATTGGAATTGAAAAAAGGCTTCCAATTCCGAAATACGGAAAGATTATTGCGGTCCGCATTCTAGCACGACGATGATGAAAATATATGTTCTAGTTAAAAATAAAATGACATGGGTTTGAAAATGTCCTAGCATTACTATTCATACAATTCTTACTATACAAAAATAATCAAATTATTTTTGAGGAATTTTTTTTAAGGTCCCTGGTATTAAGATTATAGTATAAAGAACACTCAATATTTTCATAATGTCTAAGGTCCCTCAAGTTGATCCAGAGAAAATTAGTCCAGAGAAAATCAGTCCAGAGAAAATTGATCCAGAGAAAATACGCATCACAGAGAAATTTCGCACTGTAAAATTTTCTGGACACATCACAGAGAAATTTCAAAATAATATTTTAGGCAGTCAGTTGGAACTATCAAGTGCATATTGATTGAAATACTAGTGATGTAGTTTGGTTGGAGACTCCAACAACTACAATCAAAGATGAACAGGTTACATCCTCACAAGTGATAACTACTGTGGAGCATGTTCAAGAAGATATGTCTGTGTACATATATAGTCTGCAAATGGCATGAAAGATGAAGCTTATTATCATACCCCACCAATATCAGGTCCACCACGTTTGTTACCAATAGCATCTATCTCGTTAATGAAAATGATAGATATAGCGATCCCGGGTTTACCCTTGTTGTACAGTGATCCGGACATGTGTCCGTGGATGTTGGTTATTGTTTATTATCTAGTTTGCATCCTCTTTACTTTGTATATTGAGTTATAAGATGTGTTGGGCAGGTTTGTTACAGGTTGGTTGTGTTTGGGAGCCTAGTGTTGCTGCCCAGATTTTTGGTCCTTCGCTCGAGCGAGGAGTTTGTCGCTCGAGCGAGAGTAGTGTTGCCCCGGTTCTGGACCTGAGAGTTGTAGTTTCTGGCTCGAGCGAGATTTTCGTGGCTCGAGCGGTCTGGGTTTTTCTTCGCTCGATCGAGAACTTCTTGGCTCGAGCGAGAGTTTTCTGTGTCTGGTCGCTCGAGCGACCAAGTCTTCGCTCGAGCGAGCGTGTTTTATATCAGCGGACAGTAGCGTCTTAAACATCACTTTTTCAGTTCCTTTCTTTGATCAAACCCTTAATCCGACACCCTCTCTCTCTAAACTTACATTCTCTCTAAGATTTGATCTCCCTAGGGTGTGAATCTAGCCTAGGGCCTTTGTTAAAAAGATAGAGGGCGTTGAGAGCTTCGATTTAATCTGAAAAAGTTTGGATTTGGAGCAAGTTGATCTTTTTAATCTCCAAAAGGTCCAAGTCTTGAACCACAAATGCACAATTCTCTCCTCCCTCTCTCTAACAGCCGGCTCTCTCTCCCTTTCTCAAGGTTGAAATTAGTATAATGGTAATCATGAGATTAATCAAATCACTTATTATTCAATGGAACTTATCCCATATTAATGTTTTTCTCTTATCTTTCCTTACACTGAGTTCAACTATCAATTCTCATATTTGGATTTTGGATTTTGTTTTGAAGAATGGTAGGTGAAAATATTTGCACAATACTACAATCTCTCCCTATTCTAATCAAATTCTTTCTTCGCTAATATAATAAAAAAGATGAAAATGTTACCAGAAATTCTTTAGTGTTCCACTTTTTATCAATAAGATCTATCCACCTGGTAGGATCAACATTCTTCGGTGGGTGGTTTCTTGCATACTCCTCCCTTTTAGCCTCCTTCAGCTCCATGAATTGTTTGTGCAGCCTATAGGTATGGTTACTCAATCTCCGACTAAATTTTGTGTTCATTGCCTTCTCTATATCAACAGGGTCTCCTTGTAAATCAAATTGATCCTACAAAAAATAGATAAATCATAGATAATTCTTATAAAAAATAAAATAATTACAATAAATGCTTGTATGCTTATCTGTGGATATTGTTGATATACATATCTGTTGTAGAATGTGGATACAGCTTGTATGCTTATTTGTGGATATTGTTGATATACATATCTGTTGAGAATGTGGGTATAGCTTTTATGCTTATCTGAATGTGAGATATAGTTTTTATACATATCTGTGGAAATGATGATAGAGCTAGCATGCTTATCTGTTGAAAAAGGGAAAATGAAAGGTAACTTAGACTCATAAGTTGTATGACATAAATACGTGATTTATGTGGTTGTATCAGTGTTGGCCATCTATCAATTGCCAATATTTTAGTCATTGCTCATGGTTGGTTTAGTGTATTTCTACTGGGCTGTGGCTCACCCTATATGGGAATATCATTTTCAGGTGCAGGAAGCATGCCACCTCCAAGGACATAGCTGGGAGGCTAGTGGCGGACATACTTTTGTCGCTTAACTTTTGATGTATTACATGTAACTTCAAGCCTAGGGCTTAATGTGTAAACGAGTTAGTACTCTTTGTTGTAACCAAGTGTTAACTTGGAAAGCTGTAAGCCCGTAGGGCATTTTGTTTTGATGTTAACATGTAATACTTATGTAATGGAACTCTAATGAATAAAAGAATGTGGTTAGTTTATATGTAAATGCATGTCTTATCTGATGGGTTTATTGTTGTTATTTTGAGGGCGTTACAATAGAAGGTGCAAATGATCTGGATTATCTGTGTTTTAACCAAATTTCTGTGGACTTCGGAATTTCTCTGGATTCTCTGTCTGTGTTTTAACCAAATTTCTCTGGACTTCGAAATTTCTCTCTAGAGAAATTCTAAATTTCTCTGGAGTTTGCTCGGGTGGGACGACTCTGTCTGTGTTTTAACCATGTTCGGACTCACTTGACCATTGAAACTGTTGAATGAGAGATTCAAGAATTTGAGGCCAAACAGAGGAGGAAAATCAGAGGGAAAAAAACCAGTCATTTTGTTGTTTGACAAATCCAAGTGATTCAATGAGTGAAGAACCGAAATGGGTTTTGAATTTCCTTCGATTTGGCAGCTTGAGATGTTAAGATATTGAAGATTGGTTAGATTACTGAACCTAAAAGGCAAGACTTTAAGATCATTGTGAGAAAGGTCAAGAATAGAGAGGCTAGGGAAAGCAGAGAGGTTAGCCAAGTTGGTGAACCTATTGGATGACAAATTGAGCACCTGGGTTGACCAAGATGGGACCACATCTGAAGTGGGTTCGAACTCAATCGACCCTCCAAACCTGTTCTTAGCCAGATTGACGTGAGTGAGAGTCTTGATGAACCAGAACCAGCCTGGAACAGAGCCTTGGAGAGAGTTGTTGGAGAGGTCAATTGAATTCAACTGGGAGAGCCTTCTGAGGAAGTTCTATGAGAGAGTGCCAGAGAGATCTCTTTACACATCTCTCTCTCTTGTTATGTGCAAGCATCCATGGCTTGTTTCTTTGCAAATCAGCTCCGTGATCGATGCAGCAACGGCTGGAGGAAACCCGAAGCAGAGCTGCTTGAGGAAGAATAAGCTGGGTCTCTTGATATGGAGAGAAATAGTAGGCTCAGATTTTCTTCAACGAGAAATTATTCGGTGGATTGACTTGAGAGAGTTCATTTTCTCTGTGATATATTGGTGTGGAAGTTGAGGGACCTTAGACATCATAATATAATATTGTGGATCTCTTCCATTACTAAAATTGGGAGAGGGACCTTAGACCAATTTTTTCATTATTTTTTATATAACGATAACATTTTTTTAAATAATTTTATAAATTTAAATAATATCATCACACTAACGCTGTGTTTGGTTGGAAAATTTGGGGAGGAATTTGGAAAGGGAAAGAAAAAAGGTGTGTGAAACTAGGTGAAATATAGGCATGTTTATTCACATTTCACTTATCTTCTCCATATCCCTTTCAAAATCCCTTCTCAAATCCCACAACCAAACACAACATAAGGGTGATTTAGTGTTTAATTATTTAATCATTTTTTTAACTTTTTATAAAAGATATAAAAATAAAAACAAAAATAAAGAGACAATGTAATAATTTGTAACAAATAAGTAAATAAAATGTTTATTTAGATTGTTGTCGAATCATCCCTCACAAATAAACCTAATTTATATTGTATCTCTAATTTAGCCCAAATTTAGGAACTAACTAAAATAGTTAAAAAAAATTTTATTAAAAAATCAATTATTCCCTTTATTTTTTTAAACATCTTTTTATAAAAAATTAAAAATAAAATAACTAATTGTCAAATCAACATTTTACCACCAGAGAAAACAAGTTCTCATCAAGATGATCATCTAGTTCATCTTGTGCCACATTCTAACAAGTTCTCATCAAGATGATCATCTACTTCATCTTGTGCCACATTCTAACAAGTTGTTTATACTGTCACCTTCGTCTGTAATGCAATTGCTCTTATTATGTAGAAACATAACTTTGTACTTCATGCACAAAAAAATTTATTTGCTTCGTTTTCTTTTTCTTTTTTTCTTTTTTTTTTTGGAATTTTCATGTACTTAAAGAATGTCTTTACTAAACTAACAAATAAAATCCTCAGCATGACGTAAAGCATTGAAATTAAAAATTTATAATTCTACCGAATAATGTGAGGAACCATACTTCATGCGATTATGCCTATAGAAGACATCATTGAATTTTTGTTGTTGTCTTACCGACTAATATTTATCGTAATCCTTAAATTATTTGTAGTTAGATTCATCCCAACATCAATTTGATTACAATTAGATCATCTCAAGACATTTTGGCTACTAGGGTGGCTTTGACCAAATCCTATCCGAATTCTTGTTAAATCCTTCTTTGTGATCATTGTCAATAAGGCTCGTCTTTCTCACTCGTATGAATGGTAGGAAAACCATCACTTTGATACCACTTGACACAAAATGAAAAAAAAAAAAAAAAAAAAAAAAAACGAATCCATGAGAAATTGGAACCATCACTGATAGATAGATCACTATCAAAATATACATCCACCTGAATTTTAATTGATAAACA